CAGTGCAGTAGGGGATACTAAGAGTAAATTAGCAAGTTGGTTGTAACGGCAAAATGTCATATGTGTAGTATAGGATAGAGAAGGGGGGATAAAGAGGGCAGAAAAGAGCAAAATGGGAAAATACTGGGTACAGCAGGGCAGAATACATCAGAGTGGTGACTGAAAAGGTTAAGAAAGGTGAAAACCAAGAGATGAAATGAAGAAGTGGTCCTAAATGGAATTTTTTGATGCCGGGAATTTTAGACAAGGGGTGTTCAAAATGAGTTTCAGTTGCTAAGCAGAATTACCTATGTTATAATTATGGAATTATAAAAATACACAAGATGGCTAGCACTTTAGTTAGACCATCTTATATCTTTCTCCATCCTCTGCTCCCACTGTGTTGAGGGAGATCTCCCTACACCTTAGACCCATTACATAAAAGGCTTCCTGGCCACTGACTGCTCAGTTCCTGATTCCTGAGAGTCGTTTTTGGTCATTCAGCCCATGCTTTGAGTTCTGTTTTACTTAAGACAATCACTGAAAATCATGTTCTTGGTTGTTTAATGTATGTAGGAAAGTTTGAGCTAAGTTGGACAGGTAGCTATTTGCTCTTTCTGGCCTCTGGTCACAATCAACCTACTGTGGTTTTCCTTCTGCCAATCCCTACCTCTTATTGACCTTGAACCATACCAGCCATCATGAAAGATCTGACTGTGTTTAAGATCATCCCTCATTCGTGACTCTGCTCCTAGGTTGGGCTTAACCTAGAACACTTTTGATAAGGTGTTTATTGGGAAATATCTAAAATGCATTCTTACTCATCAGCCACCATCCTACACTTCAAGACAGAAACCACTACCCTCTATGCAAATTCTGTTTCCAACCTGTCAGCCACCTTCCTCCACCCTCCCCAGCTGGAAATGAGTCTCCCAAGGACAGACAGGCCCAAGATCTTGACAAACACCATTGTGTTCCTGAGACTTGAGTTATTTCCAGGCTCAAAGTGATCTGGCAACAGAATCTGGTTGAATGGTGCAATCACAAATTCATTTCTTATCAAAGTATCCCCTTGTGAAAGGTATATTGCAGAGTAAATTTAGATAATCGCAGCAATAACAAAGTTTTGATTTTATTTATTTAGCTTTAATTTGATTGACCTTGTTCAGCAGCAGCATGAATCTGCTAGTTAGTCGTGAGCATGCCCAAGTTTATAAATATCTACAAGGATCATGAGAATTCCTCATTTATATTATGACCTTCGCTTGAGTTAATATTCCTACTCAGTTATGGTCCTCCATCCAGGATATTGAGCTTTCTTTTTTATCCTGATATTATTTTAAGTCTTGTAAGATCCTGAGTCTTCTTTCCTTTTGTCCTGATATTTTGTCCTGTTACAGTTTGATAGTTTCCTTTGCATCTGGCTTGGTGAAGAATTTTCTAGAAGGGATACCTAACCTAAGATTTAGTGGGTAAGTAGAAGCTATCTAAGCAGACCAGTGCACAACAGGATCAGCTCTTGGTCAAACTTCCCTAAATCTAAATCTCTCACCCTTCCTCTGCCCCCATGGTCTTGATTTTAGAGCTGCCCTAGCACCTGATGCTTCAACAGGTGATTTCAGGGTATATGTATACCCAAGATCCTTAGACGCCTGATGCTATTCTGAGAAGAATTTATTGTCTAATTTCTATTACTAATTTCAAATACAAAAAAATAATTTTATATATTTGTTCATTATATACTTGTCTGAATTCCCAGGGCAATTTTGAGATTGCTTTTAATGTTACAATTATACTCAGTGTGTCCTTTTTTTCCAACATTCTTTGTGAATGTTTAAAAACATTTTTGTTTGTTTCTTTTGCGTTAGCTATTGCTCCAGATATCCTAAAAGGACAATGACAGGATCTGATATCAGGTTTTAATACGAGATGCCTTTAATGTTTTACCCTTTACAATATCATCCACCATTTTTGGAACTCGCATTTGTTATTTTTCAGTAGCCTCCTTCTCATCCTTCTCTCTTACAGTTATCCACAATAGCTTTGCATTTTATTGAATAGCTTTTCAGCTGCGATTGATATGCCTTGGATCATTGATGTAATAAAATATGTTGATAAAGTCCCTGATTCTGAAGTTCTTGTATTACTGGAATGCATTTCATTTGCCATAGCATATAATTTTAAAAAATGGATATCTGGACTCAGACATCTAATAGTTTATTTGAAATACATTCTTTTATATCTGTAATTGGAGTCCATCTAATTTTCTCTTGTGTGCTATCTTCATGATACTTTAGGCAGTGAATTAAAGTCATATCGTCTTTTCCTGTGGACTGGAATTATTTAAATAACATAAGAATTACATGATGTTTGAATTTAGATTAAATGCAGCAGTAAAACCCTCTGAGCCCACCACTCTATTTAGATATGGTTATTGAAATATTCAGAATATTCTTTTATTTTGGGTCAAATTGGGTATTTTGTGTTTTGATAACAAACTAACCATTCTCAAAGACTTTAAACATGTATTAGCAAGGTTTGTGTGACATGCCTTAAATATACATCTTCAAGCTTTCCTCTATTTGAAGATCATAATTTATTATTAGTAGTATCTAGTTGCCTTCTCTCTGTGCATCTCTCTCTCTGTTTCTCTATCCCTCCTCTCTCTCTCTCTCTCTCTCTCTCTCTCTCTCTCTCTCTCTCTCTCACACACACACACACACACAGTTTTACTAGTTATTGTTCATTTCAAAGATGATGCTATTTCAAGTCCTGAACAAAATTTGTATTTTGCCTCATATTACATAGACTATAAAAAGTATTGCAAAAAATGGAGTGGCTGTGTCTTAAAGATAAACTCTAATAATTATCTCTAGTAAGAGATAGCCCAAAATGTGCAGTCCAAGAGTGACCTGTCAACCCATGGAATGACCAGTAACACAGACTTGGTCTTCATCCTGGTCCCAATGCTCCTCTTCTACCTCTTCAGGCACCATGCATGTGAAGCACAGACATACATGAAGGCAAAATGATCATGCATATAAAATAAAAATAAATAAGTACCTTTTACAGCAAAAGATATTTAAAATATACTTAACTTTGCATGCGGGGGATCTTTCTGGTGGGCATGGTGACATGTGCCTATCATCTGCTGGAAAGGCTGAGTAGAAGGAGCCAGGCAAACACCAAGCCATCCCAGCTGGCCTAATAGAAAGAACCTGTCTTTAAAACATAAGAACAAAACACAACCAGAATTACCTGCTCTGGATTCATGCATTCTATCAGATATTTTTGTTTTGTGCACACTCCAAACTTTCATGCTTTGGCTTTCATCTGAATAAATCGCTCTCCCTGACTTCTGTTAGCCTTTTATTTTCTTTTCTTTTAAGTTGAGTTTCATGATGAATGTTGAGCTGGGGCCTCTCATACACTAAAAACAAGCTATACCACTGAGGTACCTGAGTTACTTTAATCATTGTATTTCAAGTCCTTGAAGTCAAATAATTAGTTTACTTTTGTCCTTAGAAAACTACTTTAGGGCTGGGGAGATGGCTCAGTAGATGAAGTACTTGCCACACAAACATAGATACTAGAGTTCAGATCCCCAGAAACCATGTAAAACCCACACTGACAAGGAAGACAAGCCCTTGGGAAGCAAAGATACCTAGACTAGCCAGGATGGCAGAGCTATGCATTCATCTACAGACCCTGACTGAGCTCTGGGTTCATCTACAGACCCTGCCTCAATAAATAAGGACGAGAGTGGTAAAAAAAGGTATTAAATATCAACTTCAGACTTACACACATACACACACACGCTTGCATACTTACACACATGTGTATACACACTCACACATGCGCAAACTTACATAACACATAATCCAAACAATACATATACAGTCACAAAAAAGTAAACTACAATTAAACTTAAAGGATCTAAATTTGAAATCCTGTGTTTTACAGGCTCATTTGTTAGATAGACACCAGCCCTCTGCCTGTGGGACAAGTGTTTATAGGGTTGCCCGGAGGTGGTTGAAACTAAGAGCATTGGATTTTAGGGTTTATGATCTTTGAACATATATTCCCTGAGTGTGGTAGTCATCTGACATATTAAATACTTCCTCTCAAGTACATAGCCCTTCTTTCTCATAATTCATTTAACCAATTGCCTTTTTGCCAGACATTTAGTGGTCTCCAATTTCTCAAGATTGTAAGTTATGCTGTATCTGCCTTCCTTATGATATATCTTTGTCCATCTGTGTAATTATTTCTGTAGATCAGTTTCTAGAAGTAGAATTGCTATGTCAAAGGGTATACGCATGTAAAATCTGATGCCTTTCCCAAATGCACTTACTAGCTTACTTTTTTCTATTTTCTGGAAAATATATAATGTCTATCTTTCTTGTGCTTTGGGTGATTGGGTCACTGGTTTGACATGAACAGACTTGAAATCTAGCGCCTGGGTCTCTGCTTCATAGCTAATATTGTGTGAAGCCAAGAATGGAGATTCCAGGGCCTTGATCATTACCAAGTCCTAGCCCACTACCCTTGATCTCTAAAGCAAATCAGGGGCCAGACATTAGAGGAAAACATGATTTTTTTTCAAGTCAGAATTCAGGAAAGATTCTCCATCTTGGAAAAAAAAACAATGTTCCATTTCCAAAGAAAATGGTCTCAGGCCTAGAGAGGGTGAGAGTGGGAGATAGCCAAGCTTGTAGTGATTCCCCCAACATGTTCTTAGATTGGCAAAACAGAGGCATGTTCTATCTTTTTTTGAAAATCATTTTGGCCTCCCATATGTGTTATTGTTAATACACTAATTTTGCAAGTGAAGACCTATAAAAAGGATAAAAGGGGGGATGTCACAGTGTCCCTTCTTAATATTTAAAATACTACATAAAAGAAGAGCTACAGATTAGACAAAAGGGAGAAAGGGAGGGTGGCTGGGCTCTGCTGAAACCCATCAGGGTATGTCCAGTTCCTCCTGGTAAAACATGGCTGTTTTTTATAAATTCTTATTTTAGGGGAAAGCAGAAACAGTCCCCCACTTCGACAAATGATGTAATTGAGTTTCCCACGTTTGGGGAAATCACAAGGCATCAGCATATCTGGAGTGTAATGGATCAGCTTTCCTTGTAGAAAAACCACCACTTTCATAGTCATAGCTCCCCTGCCAGGTATTATAAATTCATTTTCATTCTCTTTTCCTTATGTTATTTTAATCTGTTCTCTTACATGATTACTGTACAAAAGAATGATATCTAAGTCACGTCTCTGGGCCTGGATAAAGAGATGACATTCTGAATTGACAGAAGGTCATAAGATTACTATCTAGGCCAAGCTTTCAGGTAAGGAACAAAGCCTTACCATTGTCTTCTCCCTTAGGAGTTAATCTAAATGGACCTGTCAATCACCTGAACAAGAAAACGCCCCTCAGGAAATCTGCCTGTTCTATTAACTTTAGAAATAATACAATGCCTCCCAAAACATGGAGGGTAGCACACTGGTCTTTCTGGCCATTGTCCATACTATTGGTATGGTCCCTTTGGTTATGGTGCACTCTCATCCCTTGAAGGAGCTCCACTTTATAATATAGCAAGCCCTTCCTGTCTTCTATTACACAGTACACTCTGTGTATAGTCATCTCGGACTTCTTTCTATGGAGACCACAGGGACCAGGGAAGTGAGGAGAGTCCAGGACACAATCCTAGAAATAGTGACAGGGCCGATGTAGATGACATGGATGGAATCAACCAAAACTCATCAGAGTCCTGAATCAGAGTCTTCCTCTAAGAGTCTGCATCACTGAATTGGTCCTGCCTGCACACAAATATTCATTCTCTGTCTATTCTTTCTCCCACCTGCACACAAGCACTGTATGTGCAGACCTGAAAATATAGCCTAAAGATATTAAAATTAACCAGGGACAATTGCTTTGGAGACATAAACTATAGTAGAATTTCATCTAGTAAAAGAAAACTACGCAGACATTAAGATATAGTACTACTTAAGTGAGAAGTAATGAGGTGTTTCCCTGGTGAGAGAACTAACATCTCACACATAATCAGCTTTGGATCCCAACTCTTGTGTCTCTGGTCACCCAGTTTTGCAAGTGAAAACCTGTGCTGGCTAAAGGGGGAAGTATTACAATTGCCCCTCCTTAGAACTTGAAATACCTCATACAAATCTCTTGGTCAGCACTAGATAATACCCTTTTCATGAAGCTCTTGCCCAGGCACAGACAAAGCCTCTTTAGATAAGGAAAAAAACTCAAAAGAACAACCTGACACCAAAAGGTAGAAAGAAATATGGCATATCCGAAGAACTAGGGGAAGAAACAGGGGTAGGGGGATAGCCACCTCCTCACTAATGCACCTACACATTCCAGGAGCTCCTCACTCAATGCAGTTACTTACAGATGGGCAGTGTTGAACCTGCTGCTCTCTGAATTGCTTTCCCTCTCCATCCTTTTTGGACACAAGCCAGTAGCAAAGGCTGTTTGCCTTGATGCCCTTGGCACTCCATCCTGCCACCCTGCTCTGCCCCCACATACTCTGTGCAGCTGCTGACAAACTGCCATCGCTTGTCCTGCTTTGCTTGTTTGACCCCTGGTTCATAAAACATCAGTTTTTCCTCTGTCTGTGTTCCAGCTCCTTTATCCTGGCAGCTGCCAAGCATCCCCAGCTTCCAGAACTGTTGTTCTGTTTTTTTTCCTCTCTCAAACTCCAATCAAGTTGTCCTCAAGTTGGTTGCTAAATCTGTTTTCAAATTACTTGGTGTATAAGATGAAGAAGTTAAAGAGGGACTGTGTGTTCCTGGCAACAGTTGCTTCTGAGGAGAAGAGGGAGGCTGGACCTAGGTGGAGCCTGGGGTGAAGGGATCACTCAGTCTAAGGTTTAAGAAGTACTTTTGTAGCCAGGCAGTGGTGGTACATTCCTTTAATCCCAGAACTCTGAAGGTAGAGGCCAATCTGGTCGACAGATGGAGTTCCAGGACAGGCTACAAAGCTACACAGAAAAACTCTGTCTCAAAAATAAATAAATAAATAAATAAAAGAACAAGAAGTACTTTTGTTATGTGTATATTTACTATATTGTATTTTGAAGCAAAAGTGATAACTAATTAAAATTAAATAGGATTCTGGTACATTTTTAAAAGCTGTCTTTAATATTCCACTATTACCTATCATGGTTGTACTTCAGGGTCTTTACTACATCCCAAAGAGCTGGCTACTTTCTCTCTCACTGCTCTGACAAAACACACACACAGTGGTCGCTGGTTACTTCCAACTCTGTTGTTACAAAGGCCCGACAACCAGATATGTGTGGTGTGCACTTGTGTTGGTGAATGTTCTTCTGTGTGTATGTTTATCTTATTGTTTGATGAATAAAGTACTGTTGACCAATAGGGAAGCAAGATAGGTGGGACTAGGAGACACAGAGGATCCTGGGAAGTGTAGGCACAGAAGAGCCATCTTGGGATCCCAGGAAGTGACATACCAGGGCAGAATCAGAATATAAGTAGGGATAAGCATGAAATCACTCTCTTCTCTGCAGACATGCTGAGTCAGTAACCATTAGGATGGGAGAGGAGTAACAGGTTCAAACCCTTTATCCAGTAAGAGAAGACCACGTACAAATACTTAGATTGATAAAAATTGGTTAACAATTAAGTCAGAGCTAGCCAGTAAGAAAACATAGCCACTAGCCAACAGCTTTATACTAATAAAACATCCATATATTTAACTGGGGCAGAGAAGGGTAGCAGGTCGTAGCTGGGCCAAGAAAACTCAGGTTACATACTTGTGACTATAGAACTGGAGTCTGTGGTAAGAAGAGGGCCAGCCTGGGTTATGTAAACATTGATAAAGATTAAAAACAAAATAGTAGCCCTGCGGACCAGCCCATCCAGAGTCTGCCAGCATCCTAGTCCCGCCTCCATTCATGAGAGGAGATAAATGTGGACCTGTTTCCAGCCCACCTTCCGGAGCCCTGCTCAGACACTCCTGAGGCCTGGGGACTGCACATGGGGTAAATTGTCCCAACAAAACAGGCTATCCAGAGTCTGCCAGTGTCCTAGTCCTGCTTCCAATCATGGAAGGAGGTAAGCCTGGGAGTCTTTCCGACCTGCCTTCTGGTGCCCTGCTAAGAACCTCCTGAGGCTTGGGGCCTGCACACAGGGAACCAGTCCTAGCAGAACATACCATCCAGGGTCTACAAACATCCTGGTACTACTCCCACTTCCAGCCACAGGAAGAAGAGACCCATCAGAGTACTGGACCTAATTGCACCCACCAGAAGAGAATCTTGGAACTGATCCCATCAGGAAAGGAAGAGATTCCATCTGCACTCACTGGAATAAGGGATGGGAAATAGAGAATATAAAAACACATTCAAAAGGCCAGGCGGTGGTGGAGCATGACTTTCATGCCAGCACTCAGGAGGCAGAGGCAGGCAGATATCTGTGAGTTCAAGACCAGTCTGGTCTACAAGAGCTAGTTCCAGGTCAGCATCCAAAGCCACAGAGAAACCCTATCTCAAAAAAACAAAAAAAGAAAAAATAACACATTCAACAACAGAAAAACCAATATGACAGCACCAGAGTCTAGGGACTCTACACCAGTAAGACCTGAATATCCAAATGAAGATGAAGCCGAAGAGAATGACCTTAAAAACAACATAGCAAACCTCAACAGGTACAAAAAAATATATAACAACTCCATGTATCTTATCAGACCACCATGATTTAAAGATAGAGTTCAACAACAACACAAACTTCAGGAACCCTACAAACTCATGGAAATTGAATAACACAATATTGCACCACTCCTGGGTCAATGAAGAAATAAAAACAGAAATTACAGACTTCCTAGAATTCAATGAGAATGAAGACACAACATATCCAAACTTATGGGACACTTTGAAAGCAGTGCTAAGAGGAAAGTTCATAGCACTAAGTGCCCACATGAAGAAACTGGAGAATAGTTTACACTAGAGAATTAACAGCACAGCTGAAAGCTCTAGAACACAAAGAAGCAAACTCACCCAGGAGGAGTAGACCCCAGGAAATAATCAAATTGAGGGCTGAAATCAATAAAGCAGAAACTAGGAAAATAATACAAAGAATCAATGTAAGAAGGAGTTAATTCTTTGAGAAAATCAACAAGATAAACAAACCTTTATCCAGACTCACCAAATATCATAATGTGAACATGCGAATTAACAAAATCAGAAATGAAAAGGGGGACATAACAATGGACACTAAAGAAATTCAGAGAATCATCAGGTCTTACTTTGAAAACCTTTACTCCACAAAATTCGAAAATTTAAAGGAAATGGAAGACTTCCTGGATAGATATCACCTGCCAAAATTAAATCAACAACAGATAAGCAATTTAAATAGACCTATGACACCTAAGGAAATAGAAGCAGTCATCAAAAATCTCCCAACCAAAAAAATCCCAGGGCCAGAGGGCTTCAGTGCAGAATTTTACCAAAAATTCAAAGAACAGCTTATACCTCAAAGTATTCCATGCAATAGAAGCAGAAGGGTCTTTGCCAAATTCTTTTTACGAGGCTTCAATAACCTTGATCCCCAAGCCACACAAAGACACAACTAAGAAAGATAACTTCAGACCAATATCCCTCATGAACACTGATGCAAAAATACTCAATAAAATACTGGCAAATCGAATCCAAGAACACATCAGAAAACTCATCCACCATGATCAAGTAGGTTTCATTCCAGGGTTGCAGGGATAGTTCAACATACGAAAATCTATCAATGTAATCCACCATATAAACAAGCTGAGAAGCAAAAATCACTTGAACATCTCACTTGATGCTGAAAAAGTCTTTGACAAAATCCAACACCCCTTCATGGTAAAGGTCTTGGAGAGACCTTGGATAATAGGAATATTCCTAAACATAATAAAAGCTATATATAGCAAACCAACAGCCAACATCAAACTAAATAGACAGAAAGTCAAGGTGATTCCGCTAAAATCAGGAACAAGACAAGGCTGTCCCCTCTCTCCATACCTCTTCAATATTGTACTTGAAGTTCTAGCTAGAGCAATAAGACAACAAAAGATCAAGGGGATACAAATTGGGAAGGAAGAGGTAAAACATTCACTATTTGCAGATGATATGATAGTTCATATAATTGACCCAAAGAACTCTACC